CGACCATTCAGTTTTTTTCTTTAGCCAACACCTTAAGTGCGATAGCATCTGGCCTAGATTTTTATCTACGTTTAATGTTTAGGCTTAATTTTTTGCTACTGACACAATTGTACATTTTACAAAGCTTTTAGGGTTGAGGACTCCAAGTTAGTGGAGTTGATATAGAGCTTAGTCATTATCTATTGTTTTACAATCTCTTAATTACCCACAAGAGCGCACGCAGAAAACCTCCTAAGAAAAAGAAAGAACATTTTCTATTTGGTTATCCATATATTATTCATATCCTTTACATTATGATTTTAGGTATTATATTATACACAAAAGAACGTTGACGTAAGTGGGTGTTGATGTATTCATTTGAGGTTGAAGATATGAGAGGCAAAATTGTACAGCGATTGTAGGTATTCCCAGGCTTTCACAGAGGTATAACTTGGGAAATACACAGAAAATTACAAGCTGTAATAAATTAGCTATGATGTTTATTCTTATTCTTTCTCCTGCCCATCTTATCCCAACTAGGTAGGCTCGGCACTGACTATGGTAAGGTATGTAACAGTCTTCGCTGTTGCACGAACGGGCAAGTTCGTCTGGTTAAATACCGGTAATGACCTCACAGAACACCAGCGTGAAGTGGAAGTTTTATACTTCCATATTTCTTCTGAGTGAGGTAGCCGAGCCTAATCTATTAAAATCTAACAATGTATCAGAACCTTTACAGGGCTTGTAAATGTTAATGAGCGACGGTTATCTCTTAACATTAGGTGGACCGCCAGCTCGCTTGCAATCTTCTCACATAAAAAAATGTAAGTTTTGTTGGTGTTGGATAGATCCTCATGACCGGTCGCCAGTCTATTGTCAACCCTCCTCGGGAATAAGGTCTCGGGTGTAAAACAGTAATCTATAGGTCACACATATACGCACCTTATGGGAGAATCGAACACAAGTCCCCCAGAAGACAGTGTCAGCTACGATGTTTATTGAAACTCATAATACATATATTTACAGCGCAGTAGATAAGGATAGAATTTGATTACCGACTGTACGAGTATAACTCATGTATTCAAAAGCTGTTTCAATGCAAAATAATAACAAACAAACTAATAATTAGATTTCATTTTTCGTAATAAGAGTAATAATCAGTGTTAGCCTTCAACTATTGAAATATTTCGTTGTGTGTGTGAAGTGACAGGTTTGAGATATGTATAAGACAATATTTGCATCAAGCCACGCACGGTGCGTCCGGTGTCATCAGTTCTCGTGCTGTGGTTGGTAAGGCAAGTGCGCTAATTTGCCCTATCCTTTCTAATGGCCAATCTGTATCGTGCAAGCTAATATAATGGTAAATACCACGGTTTACTTAACCTAAAAATAAAATTACAGTAAAAAATTACCGATTTCCAATATTTATGCATCAAGTACGCTTGAGAAATGAATTAGAACGTATATTGTGCTAGTTATTTCACTAATAAGGTGGTCTAGTCTTTTTATTTAATTTCTTTCAGACTCGAATTTTTGTTATTTCTAATGAATTCATCTTTAGCCCAAATTCTTTGCCACGTCCGTCCCAGTAACAGTAAATTGCTTTGAACTAGTATAAATTGGAGCATATTTTATGCGAGCAACTTTTTACTCGTTCTTCAATGATTACCAAATCAGGTAACGGCAGGTAATTAATTGAGAAGTCAATATAATTTTATTACTACCAGAGCTCCGTTTTTACTTTTCTACACCGCCTGGAACTCTAATCTTGATCTTCCGGTGTCACATATTGCAATTAAACAAGTATTTGTGGCAAGTTTTGAATAAAACAGAATCATCTTCACATCTAAACGGTGCTCCAAATCTGTGTCGCCAATAGATGAATTATCAGAAGTAACGAATTCGATTTCACAGAAAAATGTACTGGGAAAATCTGCGTTAGCATGCAAGACGCGCTCAGACTAGTTAGTCGACTCTCGCTCTTTATTGAATCTTTCTTTTTGCGTAACAGTGTAATCTAGTAGCTGATTAGTACCGTCCGGATATAAATAGCATTAAACCGGATACCTACTTTTATGGAAATCCGCCAAACCACTTTGGGAGCAGTTTACATTGCTCATCTTGGAATAATCGAAGTAAATCATTGCAAGTAAAATCTGTATTATTTTCATTAAGACTCGGGTGTGGCCCGCACCTGGTTTGTCGTGCTTATGCCCAGTCAATGATAGATACTTTATTGATCGATATGGCACAATTAGCAAGCGCAGACGGCGACTTACATGGAGCACGATTGCATTTCACAACAATTCCAACCAGACTCGAGGTTTTTCTTTATCGTTTAACAAAAAAATATCTGGTATGTGCGCGCTCCATTTGCGAATATTAACAATTTTGAAATACTTGAAGTTAAAAGTGAAACAGGACAGTATTCCCGTTTTGGTACAGAGAAATCGATAAAATTTAATTGCGTGTAATCGCCTAAGGATCGAAGCAAGCCGATAAAATATTAGATTAGCCGATAAATTATTATAATATTCCGCTTACCAAGTTGTTACTTTCTTATATTGAACTGAATTGCTCAAAACTGTTACAATTATTGTTAACTGTAAACTGTTACAGTTATTATTTTGTCATATTGTCAGTGATTTACACTGAATGTCAAAAATGCAACACTGAATATCAAAAGTGCAAAAATATTAAAATTACAGTTATTATTTTGTCATATTGTCAGTGATTTACACTGAATGTCAAAAATGCAACACTGAATATCAAAAGTGCAAAAATATTAAAATTACAGAATTGTTCGATTTACACTGGGTACTACTTGTAAAATGAGAGCTGCGCAATAGTAACAGCCTTGCGGTTTTTACACGAGCTAATGAACTAGACAATGCTAACATAATGTCAGTTTTGGCTTATTTATTACACAAGATGCTTCCAGAGACATCAAGAAGAAAATGTGACTGTAATTTAATAGACATTTGTTTCATTTTCAATGGATATTACATTCGAAATAATAAAATTTTGTTTCATTATTGAACTTAAATAAACTCCTATAAAATTCGGGTCGACAATTATACATTAACCTAAATGGTGCATCCTTTTTTAAAATGTTCTGTGTTTTAATTATACTTAATAGTAAAAATTATCATAAATTTGGATATGTGTGTTATTGAAACACGTTATGCAACATTACAAAGCTTACATGCGCGTGTGTGTTTTAAAAGCAGATGCTTTTAGTTTTTCGAAAACGGTAGATATTTTGTAATTATTTAAATGATATCGAAACGTTTGCATAACAGCCTACAGGAGATTTATTTGAGCGTTTGAATATACCTCTGTTCTGCTATTGCAAAATTTTGACATCATTTGCTTATTTATCGTCACCCAGGACAAATGTTAATGAAGTATGGTTAGATTTTTAAAATATTACGAAAGAGATTTGTTTAATGAGGGAGCAGCCGTCCACCAAATTCGTAACATCCCGTTCATAAGGCACTCTTCTCTTTACGGGTCCCAGGTTAATTCGGTCCAGAAAAATTGCTTGCGGACCGACTTCATGAAATACAACTACCATCTTTCATTAGTTTATCACAGTTGAGAGACCCCAATTCTTTGCTGTTAAATGAAGGTTAATTTTTCAATAAGCAACATACTTAAAAATTAAAAAAAAAACAAATTTTTCTTCTAATAAAGATTAATAAGCGGATGAAATGAATCGCTCGATGGTCATACGATTCATTTCATATCCAGGTTGCATTTTATAAGCTACTACGAGAAACTTACGTATGTTTATTAAACATTAGATTTTTGGTTAAATGCAATGTCGCTTACAATTTTCCGAGGAAATAAAATATGTGTAAGACTCTCCTCAGATATTATTGTGGTAAAATAATTTTCTGTTGCGTTAATTACTTTAAATCTGATTTTGAGAGTGTAAACACCTATTATACAGTGAATATATTTAAAAAAAGGTGTAAAAATTAAAACACTTAAAATCATATACGTGTAATAACAAAGTGCTGAAAATTTTAGTGTTCATTTGAAAAAAAATATGCAGCATCAAGGATTTTTATTAAATATAAAGAAGGCCATTGTAGCCTGCCGCACAAAAAACACGGTCGGAAATGAAATGATTCAAGAAAATGCGAAGAGGAAATGTCTCGAGATTTTATCTAACGGAAAAAATCGTTCTTTAATTGCGTTCGAGCTTGATAATGCGATGCTTCTGACAACCTTCGTTTGATGACCCTTTTATCATCGGAACATTGTTTGCGTGAATAGATAATTAAGAAGGACTAAGTTATATCCAAGGAAACTAACATTTTATTACTGCAATTCAATTAAATTCTCTGGTATCTCAGCAAAGAATCGTTTAACTAACGTATATGGAAGTAGTTTAGCCGATTGTTTAAATAATGCAAATGGTGAAAATTTCAAAATATACGTTAACAGAAAAAAGAAGGTCACCTTTATAAAAGTTAATAAATTGTGTTGCTTGTTTGACGTATTTAATGAAAAATAATTGTTATAAATTAAGAAATGTATATATACTTAAATAAGAAAAAAATAACTACCAGCAGCTCTCGCGTTATACAAATGCTTTAAATTACAAATAAATATATCATAATACACTTAAACGTTATTACTCGTACATCGCTAATATTCTTCATTAACGGTTCTATAAATAATGAGATTTTAGTAGTAAAATGAAAAAGTATTTTTTACTTATATTAAAATTAATAATACTTCAAGCAATTAGTAATTAAAAAAAATACAACATCATGTTAGTAACTTTAAATAAAGAAAGAGTTAAAAATGTAAACAAATTTTTCAGTCGCAACGATCTAATAACAATACTAATTACGCTTAATATATTATTGATTGTTTACCTTTCTTCCGTTTCGGCATAACTCGCACACCGATGGCATGTTCGATCACTAGGCACAAGGACAGAGCCAGTAAACAGTATCTCGCACTGCACCCCATGTTGTCGCACAATGTCCGCTGTCTGTTGGTTATTTATGGAGGCACTGGAGCGCCGCGCATTTGCCCGGTGACACGTGGTGGCGGGACGCTAACAATCCGTGTGTGTGCGGAGACGCACCACCAACGTTTCTGAACGACAGCCGGTTGCACACTGGTCGGGAGCACGACGAACGAGTGGACCGCCCGACTACCCTATATTTTGACTTGTAGCGGTTTGGCACTGCGAATTCCACTCGTATATAAAACCTTTCGCCGGCTCGGGGCGGGCGGCCATTGGTCGTGCGGCTGTCGGCGGCGCGAAGGTGAAGGGAGCTGGAAGTGGCAACCCCTCCACACGGTGGGGGGGGGGGGGGTCCGACTGATCCAGGGTCGGCAGACTCTTGCTATCGTCGGACGGAGCGCGCGAGCTCCCGCGCAGCCGATTCAAAGTATTCGCCGTCCATATTAATCAATCAAATTGGTTGATATAACAAATTATGATCAATCTTTCGTTTAGTTTTAACTATGTTTAGACGGCGTTTATATATTTCTTTAAAAGCTTTTTGCACAATAGTCTACAACGGCGGACATAACACAATTAGGCGTTCTCAACTAGTCAACCGACAAATAATTTGTAGTTTATAAGTATATGAATATTTTGCAATAAAACCACAACAAGTAAATACATAATTTATATTATTTTTTTAACATTACTTACATTTATTTATTTTTTAATTTTAATTTTACTTATATTTCTTTTAATTTTAATTCACTTTCTATTCTTCCTCATTTTAGTCTATACTATGTTCTTTATAATAAAATATATATTTATTCATTGTGTCATTAAACTTCACGTAACTTCACAACGTTCGTTTCATCATCTCCTGTGACAAACGCAACAAACGTTTAAGTCATTAAATCGTTGGACATAAAGTCATAAGGTCCCGCTTTGATACTCAGCATATGGGCTTTTGTATAAATAAAAAGTTTATTTTGTTTATTGTGAGCCGAATGTATGTTGCCTGGGTTACTTATTACACACTTTACAAAACATGTTTCTTTTATTAAAAAAAGGCGTTAGGTTTTTTTAGACCATATTTGTTTTATTTTCATAAGAAACTAGCTGATTCGGCAAACGTTGTTTTGCCATATCAATTATTTGTAGAGGAATCGGAACTCACGCATAAAGTGTTTAACAGGCATTAATTACACAGCATAATTGACAGGTTGACAGGTGCAATTTCTATGGGAAAATAAAATTGTTGCTATTTCGATTTTCCATGCCATATTTCCATAATTTCGCATCGTTTAAACCCTCCCCGCACTGCCACAAATACTGCAAAACCAAAATTATCCAAATCGGTCCAGCCGTTCTCGAGTTTTAGCGAGACTAACGAACAGCGACCCATTTTTGTATATAAAGATTCTATGTTGTATATGAATTAAATTATTCAATATTCACGCTTTGATAAAGGTTGAGTGCAAAAAAATGTAACAATTGAAACAAAAAGACATCTCCAATAATTAAATATTGAACTATTAAGAGATTATTATTATAACGAAATATTAAGAGCCAAGAAATGTAGTAATAACTTGTATAGCAAGTTTTTTTGTGTCTAATTTACCCGGTACTTGTAAGCATTTCATATATAGTCTATAATGTAGACTCTACATGATTTAATGTACCACCGGAAATTCACCAGAGCATAATGTTTTGTCTAACAAGATGTGAAGTTTATATCCGTGATAATTTTTAAAAAAAACGTTACATTTAGAATGATGATCTAATTTTCATAGAACCTGCGTTTAAAGCATTATATGAGAGGTTTAGGATTATTTTAGTTTTTAGAGCTAGTCTGCAAGTGAAATGAGTTTGAAATATTAGTTAAATAGATATTAGCAATATTAATAACAGTAAAGACCATTTCTTATAAAGATTAAACTGGTTTTACGGAATATAGCCCTTTCTCGTTGAACTTTATATGAAACTCATAACTTGAACACATGACTTAAATTCGACGACTTAGAAATACGTACAGAAGAATTATATATTAAAGATGGACGGAAAAGTTGACCTCTGCTGTCGTTATTAAAATTAAAATCAGACAGCTTACTATCGGGGCAACAGCTAAATTTGTTTATTATTCTTATTTTCGCAGTAAAGTTGCATATGCTGGTTTATTTTTTGTGTTCCGGAGGTATAAAAAGAAACTGTTGCCCACGACCTTGCGATTCAATGCAGTATATTGTTTACCATATAAATACATTCGAAAATTATTTTATATTTATTATTGTTTTGACATATGATAAGAGAGCCTATGTTTATAGCGGCCAAAATTAGAAAATTGTTTTTTAACAAGTATTTTAAATAAGTACGGGAATAGCGACATTCACAAGTAATTAAGGGAACCCAATTTAGAGTAAATTATTAAAATACAATTGAAACGGGGTTCTATAAATATCATTCAATGAACGGTGGTTTATGGTTATGTTCATAAACCTTCTTAGGACTGTTTTGAGCATATAAATTTTAACAAAGATTACTTAACAAAACTAAATCGAACCAAGAAATTTTATCTTCAGTTTAACTAGGTAGAAGCTTTAACTATAGTACAGGTAGATAGATTTGCCACGGTGTAGGGCCACGCAGTAGCCTCGGCTGTTGCACGAACGGGCAGAAGAATCTGATCGCTTGTCAACTTTTCACATAAAAAAAAAAACAGTAACTATCATAGTATGAGCTTGAATACCTGAGTTTATCTCGTGCTATGGATTCAAAAGTGGTAAATAAAAAAAAAATAAACATTAAATTATAAAAATGATATCGTTTTGCATGTATGTTGTTTAATTTAAAAATGCATGATGTATAAGCTAGCATGATGTATGACGTAGCTAAAGGATATGTTTTATGAGTGAAACTTTCACTAGGGGTTTTCATATTAAGGTTAAACCTGTCAGATGTTGGATTTGTAGCAATAAATAAAATACTTTACTAACTAGATATATCGAATGCTGAAACATTTTTGTCCATTAGATTTGTCTATTTGTCAACTGACTTCAAAAAGGATGAGCATCTCAAATCGGTTTTGTTTATTTATTTATTTTTTACTTTAGAACTCCAAACCATTTCTGATCCGGTTAAAAAAAATCTTTTTGCATTGTATTCGATTTGGTTCTCGTGTGGTCACATATTAATTTATTTATTATTTGATCTTGGAACTCCGGAGATACATCAATGAACTCTTCAAAGTCAAATAGGAAATATAAATATATTTGAAGTCGCTTTTGTCTTATGTTAATTAAAATGTTTTACTTATATAAAATGTATTTCAAAAGTTACAGCATAAAATCGGTATGTGAAATTATTTCACACGACCTAATATGATAATTCGAGTTGTAACATATTTGGCATTAATCACTTCACTTGAACAATTTTCTGCTTAATAATTTTACTAATACTTAATACTCATACGAAATACTTATTTTATGTTATAAGTAGCCAAGCTGTTATTTATTAAAAAATAGGTGGTTTAAAAATAAATTCGGAACATTATCAACTTTTATTGTTATTTAACATGACAGAGGAAATGTTGCTTTTCTTCACACAAGGAAATACTTGAAATAAATTGGTGTAATACAGCCCTCTTATCATCAAGAAGCAATAGAACCTCAAGTTGTTGTTTGTTGTTACTTAAACATACTTATGTGAATTACCAAATATCTTGTTTTGAAGTCCAGTGCGTAATCTAAATAGTGTTATCTTGATTATTATTGTGTTCATTAACTCTAAGAGCTTGCTCTTTCTACAGCTGCGTATTCTATTAGAACTGATAATCAGAATTCTATTTGCCATGATTGTCTATTCTTGATGTTATCATATTATTATTTACTTTATAAGGATTTTGTTTTCGTATTAATATGAAGTATTATTGTAGACGATACAGATATAATATAACTATGTATATATACAGACATAATATATGTGTTTTATGTATTTTAGATTTCATTTGCAGTTTTGAAGTATTGCTTTAATAATTAAATATTATGTTTTCAGTGAGTCCTATGAAAAGAGCCACGCACCCGTGAAGATAACTGACTTAACTATTTAATTTTTCTTTCCTTTATAAACAGTGACATACCTCATTAACGTTCCCACTACGTTCCTCAAAGTAAAGCGCCAGTTTTACAGTAGGGCAGGGGACATTAAAAATCCCTATTCGCATGCTACGATAACAAAATTACCATTAGGACATTTAGTACCTGGACCCTGAGGAAATATGAGGATGTGGGATGATTAGAAACATAATTGGGGGCACTCTAATGGCAGATTAGGACTATCTGAAATCTGAAGAAAGGAGAGAGAGCATACTTTATCAAGCAATCTAGCAATTTCTTTAACTACTCTGAAGGAGACCAGCGCTCGCAAGGAGGCGGGTTCTATTCATAAAGCCTTCACAGACGATATAGTAAAGATCTGCTGTACTTCATTGCGGTATTACCGCAGATCTTTACTATATAGTACTGGTCGGAATGAAGGTTGTGGTCATAATTACTATATTTCTATATTATGCCAATTTTATATGTAAATAGAGCCCATTTAATGGTTCGTTATTTAAATACGAGTGGATTGACGACAAATCCCGACAAAATCTGCAAGAAATAAGGTATTGAAATATACGGATATTTAAGGATGTCACAATGTTCGAAAACGATTTAATAAACAGGGACAAGCTCGAGAATTTTCAAATGATAAGATTGACTTTGTGTCCAACTCTTAACTCTTCTCAAGTCATTTTCTGAGAAGTTCCAACTGGATCTTCAGAATCGATTTACTTTACTGGATATGCTGCGGACGTGGATGGGGCTACCAGAAACATACTTGCCACAATATATAACATACTAAGTGAAGTAGGCAGAAAAAATTACAGCACGCAGCGTAGAGTTCGTGAATCGACCGCCCAGCTAGATATTGATTCTTATGAAAAGAAGGCCTGAGGCCACAACATCTTCAAAAGCTTAAGCAAAGTACGTAGCATCCAACAACATTACATAGGGCAGAGCATAAGAAGGGTTACTATATAACATATGACCAAATAATGAGATTGACACAACAATGGGCGATTTGTCACTTCAGAGTCAGAAATCTTAGCTTATATATTCGCATTTCTAATAAGAAATAAACTAAAATAATCAAAGAGCATAAGCAAATATTTTCCATAATTAACTGGAAATTAAAGTGAAGAAAGAGTATGAAGTTTGCAGTACGGATATAAAAAGTTGCATATTGAAGTAAGCCATCCCTTTTCCAGACAAAACAAGAGGTTGTTGGGACTTCGCCATCATAAAAATTAAAAGCTTATTCACCACTGGGTCTGACCATTCCTCCCATGGTGCATTGTAGATGTCTATACTGAGGTCTTCTCCAGACTGAAATGAATTTATGATAAATATAACTTAATTTTACATATGTTTTTTTTAAATTTAATGTAAGCTCATGACAATTATGAATGAATTCATTAATTTTAATTACTTGGCATCAAGATGATAAGACTCAACTTTCTGCGACATTCTAATCAAAAACATTACTAAAGAGGACAGGCCGAATCTAGGTAGCCGAAATTGATGGTCACCCAGTATTCGTATATGTAATAAATTCACATTTCTCGCATACTAGACCAGTTGATGTAAATGGAAAGGAGCGACTTAATAATGTCAATTACGTTTTTAATTTTAGCAATACCACTATTATCAATAGAAAATTAATGTTTTTAAACTGATTGATAAATAATTGAAATACATACCTTGCTTAAGTTACTTGAAAAATAACAAGGTGTGAACATATGGATAACACCACTGAGAGCGAAAATTGTGTACTTGGGGTCGATTCTTTGACTAAGATAAATCTGGTATAGGTTAAAAGAAATTAAAAGAGAACTTAAAAGAAAAACCACAAGTAACCAACCACCGTATACGTTTTGCAAAAGGTTGTAAAACCGAAGTGCCTCTTGGTGATCTTTTATGACTTCTTTCACTTTGGCTTCTAGTGCGGATCTGTTTCTAGCGTCTTGGAAGGCTCTGCAGAGTTTATGCGTCATCAACTTCAGTTTTAGTTGAAGGTGAGTGGTTGCGATGCAGAATGAGCCATCGAAGCCAGCGAAGTTTGGCGAAAGAACCACGCATGGTATCAGAATATACGCGAACATTATCTCAAAGTAAGGGGACTCGTATTGTTTATGTTCTAAATATTTTAGTTCCATTTCGTGGATCATGTACTTTTTTCCAACATCACTCTTTATACTCTCATAGATCATACATATCCCTGCATATATAGGGAACTGAGAACTCAAAAGGATCGGTATGATTATCCAACATGTTTGACCGAGTTTTGCTATTTTAATGTAATAATCATATATTTCTTGATAATCACCTTCCATGTAATTGCCTTTTGTGAGATCTTCCGTTATTTTTTCTAATAATTCGGCGAATAATTCAGTTTTTTGAGTAACGTAAAAAGATTTGAAGAAGAAAAGGCTGGTTAAAATACCAATCGTAACGTTTCTGGATAGATTGTACATGTCTAAAGTACGCAGACATTTATATAAGTACATCAAAAACCAAAAGAGAACTAGAGAGTTAATAGCCACTACAACTGCAAAAAGAATCCGCCGTCTCCGAACGTTTTGCCTATTTGGATAGATCAGGGCTATTGCGAGTGCAAACGCGCAATGTGGAAATGTTTCCTCGAAACACTTGTATTTGGGCTCTCTTCCTCTTTTCTTTAAATCTTCAAGAGACATTTTATTATTCAAATGTCAACGGTTCGTCAATTTCTAAAAAATAAAGAACACTGTGAGTCATAAGAAAGCGCAACATATCCAAGGGCTTAATGTCAGTGCTTTGCTCCAATTTTCAACCCAATTACGCAATAAAGTATCAAGTAATTTTGCAGCTGTTATGCCACAACAGCTTAAATAAATTTTTTTCCACTTATATGGTTTAATATCGCTTTTTTCTCGGTTCTGCTAGATATTTTTTTATGGAAGTTATCTATCGCACGTATCGTACTCAATAGAATACTATATTTTGGGGGAAAAAAGAAACCACTACAAATAAAAATTTCGCTCCATTTTTTTTTACTTTGCTAATATATATTTTTAACCTACTTCAAAAGTTTTCAGTTTGTCTACCTGTCTGTCTGTCCGTCTGTCATCATGCTGCATCTCACGATAGTTAGACAGTTGAAATTTGCTCAGATGATGTATTTCTGTTGCCGCTAAAACAACAATTCTAAAAAAACAGAGTATTTTTTTTAAGTGGGGCTCTCATACAACAGACATGTTTTTTGCTTTTTTTATTATCTATCAAAAGGCCAAATCATTTGTGCCTTTTTTTTCATTATTGTACGAAAGAAACTCTTCATGCGCGAGTTCGACTCGCACTTGGTCGTTTTTTTATGTATATTCAGGGATAACTCCATCATTTATGTATTAACAGATTTGCAAAATTCTTGTTTCTTCGAAAGGGTTTTATTCCGAAATGATCCCATTTAAATTTCATACAGATCTGATGATGACTTTCGGAGATGGACAGCAGAACTCTTCAAAAAATGGCAGCAAATTTAAATCGCATAAATATGCATTATTTACATAACATACGTGATGTTATGATGTGATTGTGCAAAATACTGTACATCCGAAAAGGTTAAACAGATGTACATTCAATATTGCTGAGAAAGCGAAAACAGCGTATTTTTGCAATTAATAAGCTGTTTACTCGTTCTCAGCTATCATGTTATGTGCATTGTAAGCGTCTATTTGTCTGACAGTGTGATACATTTGAATTGTAACACCATCGGCATAATCTATCAACAGTATTCCTTGACGTTCGCAAAGCAATTCAAATTGAGCCATTGTCAATTCGCCAACGCGACGCCAGGTAATCTTTGTACATAAAATTATAGCCAAACGAGTGTGAATTAAACTAAAAGTACGCCTTAAAGTGTGTTACAGAGGGCGGACTCAATGTCTGTTTTGCATTCTCTGTCAATGACGTCAATGGTCGTTCAATGGAACACGGGGCATGATGAGAAACCATGGTAGGCGCAATAAATCAAACCAAAATTTGGATTTATAAGAATATTATAAATCATAAAAAGAATAAGCTCCAATTGGCTACAGGTGTACAAGATATTTAAATATTATATCTTGTACACTTATAGCCTATTGGAGATAGGATATATTGAAGATATAATATTTAAATATTATATCTTGTACACCTATAGCCCAAAAATAACTAACTACAATTTACTAAAATTATACACTAAAGAGCAAGTTTTGTTAAAATTTAGATAAAAATATAGTATAACTTGAGCGTGAAGACGCTTACATTCCAAAAATATTGTATTTATCTATCGTTAGTGTTAAAATTATTGCAAATTAAACGTTGGTTTTAATAACGACTGATATAAGCTTAATGTCTAATAAAAACTCGTGATTGATGAGTTAACCACTTAAAAAGAGCGACTATCTAAAACTTATGTATTTATTCTGTTACAGTTAAAACAGTAAAGCGCAAAAAACTGAAATGATGATAGGGCATCTAATTATGAAATTAACTCGACCTTTTACGTTAATTACGACTAGTGAGATACTGTTATTTTCACACGAGTTTCTGTTATCAGACATAAAACACCAAGCCTATTATTTTGGAGTTGCGAAGGAACGGGCCGTGACTTTTTAACAAATCGTTGTACTGGCTTTCTATTGTTATTTTTTTGAAGTTCACACTTTAACAATGGTATTGATGCTTTCGATGTTTCGCTGTGATAAGCCTAATTCTATTATAAAAAAAAACGAAATGAGCAATATTATGAGTTAATTTACATAGTAGGTACGTTCATGATGGACATTATCTTTGGTACAATTAGACATAACAAAGCGATTGGCTCACTCCAACTTTTTTTAATTTTATTTTTATACGTTGTGTCCCATGTGTCTCGTAATGCATAGTTATTTGAGTCCTTTATTTGAAGCAGATAAAGAATATTAGGTTTGGTCAAAGGAATATTTATTGCATTAAAATAACAGGCAAAAATGTTTTTTATTTTAGTACGTAGGTTACGTAATATAAGGAAACTTTTGTTTTTATTTCTGCGTTGTACTTACCGATGTAATTTGCGTAGTCTAAAGGTAGACATTTTTATTCTTATGTCATAATTAAGAGG